CCCTTTGATTGATCATCTCGACAACGAGATGCATGACCATGAAAAGTAGAAAGATTTTAAGTCATATAAATAGTGTATTTTACAACATATACTCTACACCGTCTATTTTCAAGATTTTCATATGTTTATAGATCTACTTGATTTTAACCATTTTTGAAATTTTAAGTTTTATAATTAGATATAAAAATAGAGTTTGAGATAATCTTATGAACATTTTACATCAAAATTATATACCATGATATAATTTTAAGATACACCTTACCTCTATACTTGCGAATGCTTCCATATGCCAACTGCATCCTTAAAAAAATTATATAAAATCTAAAAAAATAAGTGATTTGTTTGTGATGCCGCTTTGAATGTCTTTTTATCATTTTGTTAAAATATGGAAAGTGTTTTGGTCCATAATACTTATTTTTTATATTTTTTGAAAAATTTTAAAAAGGGAAAAGATTATATAAGGGTGCAACCTTAAAATGTAAAATTACAGATGCACCTCAAAAATCTATCGGAAAGGTTGTTTTAATGTTGAAAAACCCTCTATTTGATCATCTCGACATCAAGATGTATGAATATATATAAAAAACGTTTTAGTCTCAGAAATAGTGCATCTTGCAACACATTATCTAGGCCATCCAGTTTCAAGATTTTCATATATTTATAGATCTCCTTGATTTTAACTATGTTTGGAGTTTAAAATTTTCTAATTAGATATAAAAATAGATTTTAAGATATCCTAAGAATTTTTTACAACAAAATTACATGTTATGATGAAATTTGGAGATGCATCTTAATTGCATTGTTTAAAGTTGCAACCTTATAGAAACCACACCCTTTAAAAAATATCCCTGGGGTCAAATCGATTTTTTAATGTCTATTTTTTTTTACTTATTTTCAACTTCATTTGGATGTGCTTTGTTTAATCATTTTTTAAATATATTTTTCATATTTTTTTAAATTATTTTTGTATTTTTTAACACTTTTTTGATCAGCCGGAGCTTGCCTAGTTGGGTGAATTGGACTGGCCAGTTCACCGGATACTCAAAACCGGCCGAGACCGGTTCGA